TGTAAGTATATAGTCTGAACCCGTCGACACTTTATGACAACTGATACAATATTTTTATTGTTTGGCTTGGGTTCTCCGAGATAGATATATATTTTAATGAAAATAGCTGTAGTTATTACTTAATATAAAAGAGAAGAATACGACACACCCACATGTTTATATTTTTGATTTTCATATACATACTATGTAATAGGTAGCAGGGCAGATTTTCAAATAGCGATGAAAATAAATATTGTACTGGATAAAAAGAAAAACAACTTTTACCAAAGATTCAATAAAAGAACCTGACAAGCGATGCTATATTAAACATTGAGTTATACCCAAAAACCATTTAGATAAAAAATAAATCTGATGTCATATAGCCAAGTATGATAAAGAGTTTAAGCGCTATATACGAGTAGCATTTAATGTTTACATTTAAACTAAGAATAGAGTTCGGAAAACTAATATGACAGTACTATTTACCTAATTGATGGTACAACTCTCGCCAAACCTAACCCGTAACTTTTACTTGCTTTACTATTCACGTTCTATGTAGTTATTTTGTAATGGTCATTACGCTTGCACGCTTATTGAGTTAGATACTCAGTGAGAGCTGGCGCTTAACTTTTACTCTTTAATTTAATCGTAAAAATAAATTCACGAACATTTTCATTTTTCATGAGAACCTTCCGTCGCTGTTAGTGCGTGTCCAATATAATTCTGTTAAGTGTTGGGGTTCATTTCGCTCACAAATTGTAACGATTTAGTAAAATTAAGCGACGTGTTGCCTCCAATTTCCACACTGCTTGTGGTTGTATGAAATTGAAATCGTGTTGTTAGCGAGTAACAGAAATATCGTGTCGAATACGATGTAATCTTAACGACTATTGCAGAACTTTTATTACTTCTGTACAACTGATTTGTTAATTTTATTTACTAAAAGTGCATTAAGATTTCAAGTTTCTCTCTAGTCTCCATTTTTAGATACATAAAATCTCTGTGTAATAAATCACTTTATATTTGTGGTTGCCGTTTAGTAACTTCTTTGTTTTAATAAATAAAGTCTTCAGGAATTAGCGTCATGACGACAGTTTCACCAAGCGATTTACAGTCTTCCGGAACAGATATCATGTTCAAACATTTGTTAGCAGCCTAACTTCAAAACAGGTTATAGAAGAAAAATGGAAAATGCTACCCACAAGGGATTGAAAAGGGTGTAAAACTCCATAAAAGTTTTGAATAATAGCAGTGTTCTTGCTCAGATGTGGTTTTCCTTGGGGTAGAAATATTTCTTCAGTTTGGTGGCTTAAACTTAAATGGAAATACTGTTATTCATTTTCTAGGTTGCTGCATTTAAATAAATTAAAAAAACATATACACAAATAATGTTACTTCATTAAACTTCGCTTTTTTGTAAGTCGCGTTGATTGTCAAGAACTGTTGACAGTTTTAAAGTATTAATACGTTAAAAAGTTAGTTCCGATCTACTCTCGATCTCACAATTGTCATAAAAGTTATTCTTGTAGTCAACTTTCCATCACAATGTCAATTATCACATTACAGACAGTATTGACAGGGTAAACAAAAATAGACATGGTGGTAAAATACCCGGCGTGGGTTGAGCAGAGGCTTGATCTCATGACGGCCATCGGAGTGGGCATTCTCTCGCTCAGCAACTTGATTGTGGCCATAGTATGGAGCGAGAGCGCGAAGAGCTCCGACGCCTCCTTCTGCGAGCAAAATATGCTCGCGCGAAGCGGGTGGAGCGGGAGATTTCTAAACCTCTTCCAGTTCATCGGGCCTGGAAACGGATTTCCCTTTTAGGTTATAGCTGATTCCATGATGATGAGTAAACTCATCATCAAATCATGTCGATCATGTAGTAGATAGAATCCTGTAACGTATAGGACGTTCAATACACTACACGCACGTATACAGAAAATTAGGGTGCGTATCACAATTTTCACAGCACGAAACGGTAATCAAAGGCTCAAATATATTAAAGTTTTATAGCTTTATTTAACTGTAGCGGGTGTCTAGTAGAATTTTCAGATCACGAACAACGTAATTCTGTATCTGATTCAAAGTGAATGGCTCCATTTGTGCGCTCTGAATGCATCCGGACCCTTCGGAACCGTGACAATCGCCTTTGGAGTTCTGTTACCTGAACTGGATACCTTTTCAATTTAGACCAAGTAAGACGACGCCTTGAAAGCTAATTATGCGTATTTGAAAAGAAAAAGTGTCTTATCTTTTATACGTTTCTAATATTGGTTACCAATATAGGTAAAACGTTGTCACACATAGCCGTTTGTATACTATATGGGAGTATACATACTACTAGGGAAGCTGTGTATGCCATGCTTTCATGCAGTAATATTTACGTAGGTATATTCAAAAGGACACGGATCTTTTGTAATAATATTAAATGTATTAAGGAACCGTAGAATTACTTTTATGTGAAAAATATTTCTTTTTCGGGTTGTACTGAGTATAAATATTTAAATATTATCGTAGATTCGCATCACATTAAAGGTTTTGAAAACATTCATAATACAATTCATAAAACACGGAGTTCACTATTTATATTTAAATATCCCACCGAAACCATTAAAGGTATGTATTTGTTTTTTTACAGTTACATTGTGTTAGGTCTTTGTATTAGTTATGTTTACAGTGTAAACAATAAAAATAACTTATGGTAATAGGAACATAATATTGGCTACCTATAGGATGCCTACTATCTGATATTGTGTTACTTAAGAGCTAAATATGTAACAAAATTAAATTTTAACAAAATTGGCGACTCGGTGGGGGTCCAAAGATCGCGACAGTGTGTTACCGCTATGATGATTATTGTATACTTTTTATATATTTATTTTTGCCGGCCAGCCCAGACTGCAAATAACCATATACATATATATGTTGTCATCTTATATAATACATTTCAATTTCAATGCTTCATTGAAAAGCAGATTTTCAATCGATAGGCCATTTAGGTTAACTTTTTATTAAATGTGAATAAAAGGCGATGAAATGAATTGATTTCGTTTATTGCTGCTTAGTTGCCTAGTATGGAAAATACTTTTGACAAAAGAAGTGTTTTAATACTTACGTTGATATTATAATTTACAGGTATGTAGCTACAAATATTTATTCCAGATACATAAACGTGATATGCTACGAATATTGGTTTATGGAAATGTACTTATGCGTGCAGCAATCTTTATTACAGGCATAGATGGAATGACTAAACTTCGTTTTAATGTATTGCCTTTTCCTGACCCTTTCAAGTAAATTAAGTGCAAACAGAATATTGATTTGTTATATTATAAATAAAAGTATGTAAAGTGTATTCCGAAAAGATTCGTTGACGGATTCTTGTAGATTTATCTGAAATATATAGACATGAAATTTCAACATTTAAAGTTTATTATATAGAGTTAAATGTGTGAGTGAAGTTTAGCTGTCTTTCAATAAGCAAGAAATTAATATTTGCAAATGCTAAACAGACGTATACAGGTACGTCACACCACATATATTTTCAAAATCTATGCCATTTACATCATTTAAGTAGTTAAAATATCAACATACTAAATAAATTGTTATTGTGAAGACATTTTTAGTTGATATATAACTATTTGGCGAAAATAAAACACTACTAAACTGTCTGTTGTGACACTACTAAAGACATACCTACAGAAAGGACGAATAAACCACGCCAAGGAAAGATGTCAGGGGCCGACATAATTTATGGTCGAAATACTGTATGTTGCAGAATACTCTATGGTTGTCATCTGTTTATTGCCGATCTACCTTCTTTTTCGTCTTCTATTTATTAACAAGTTGTTTCGTTAGAATGGAAAAATAATAATACTTACTAATATTAAACTTGACGATGAATATCTCTAGACCAATTGGATATATATTAGGTAAATTGATGTTCTTTCATTAATCACACCACGTTTGACAGCAGTGAATCAATTAATATAATGCATTATGTCTACAGCAAATGCGCTCGATTGTTGCCTGTCTATCTGTAAGGTGCTTTCCCAAACTTCCGTTTACTCTCTCCTGAACTTAATGATCAACCAAAAAGGGAAGACGGTATAAAAAATTACGGTTACGACCGCTATCATTAAAATCCCTTACCCTTTGCTACCGCCAACACTATATTGTGTTCGACTCCAAATTTAACATTTACAAAGTCTTACATAAGATAAATTCAGATCAGGAGGTGTGTAGGCTTAATAAATATAGTTTTAATATCTTTAATATTGATCGTAACCTAACATCATAGACGAGTTTATGTAGTTATGTAAACAAAATACGTATACCACACAACAACGATAAGTATCGGATGTGTGCGAAATGAATTCTAATGATACCCATTCAGGGTGTGTGTGCGGAGTGAAGGTGTCGTTCTATAAGGATCGCGAAAAATGTATTTTCAGATAACATTTGTTGACAGTAACTACGAGTATATGACACTTTTGGACGTATCATGTAACAAATTTACATTCCTGTCGCAAAGTGGCCGTAACTGTTTTTTGTAGTGAGTTGTTGACACGAGTAGTGAAGCGGTGTTTCACGTTGTCTCACCCGAAGCGCAGGTGTCGTCTCGGTCCTCCCCGGGCTAGCGCCTCGGTCCACCGACAAACATGAAATATAGAACTTCCAGAACACCTTGTGCATGATATATGATGCTAGTGACGTCTGTATTCACACAATTCCAACTCATGTTTTATGATTCTTTCAACATTTATTTTTGTACTTCACTGATGCAAGAGAATTTTAAATTTTTGTTAATTTTTGCCATATAGGTATAGGTAATCAGCTGTTAGGTACCTAAATATTAAGATGTGTATAGGGTTGGTGTACAAACTCAAATAATACGAAAATTAAGTTTGTCTTCTCATAAGTGGCAACTTCCTGGGAACAAGGTACTTCATGTGCTCAATTATGAAAACTATTAATAAAATATTATTGTAACAATATATTTTATATACAAAGTAGTTTTATAATACAACGTAAACGACTACGAAGATCACGGATAGAAAGTACGTTCTTGACGCTGCGCTCCTCTTGAGCGCTTCCAGCTCGCTGACATCGGGACCCTCGTCTGACTCACCCAACTCGTTGTACTGCATTTCCTCGAATTTACCGGACAATGCTGTAATAAGAAACTCGCTTAGAACCTCTTCCAATATCTCTAGAGAATACCTTTCCCTCGCTTTTTGCCAAAATATCAAGTTACATGGCATCACTATCAACTTTTGCTTCTAAACGCTTTGAACATTGAAGGAGTATTTCTTATCACAGAAAACTAAACTTTATACTTTCAGTGGTACTTACAGTATAATTTTATTGTTCCGTCCGTATCTCCGAGAGAATTCTTTGATATGCAACTGTATGTACCGAAAGTATGTCTGCCAACTTTTTTAATCTTCAGCCTCATATCCACCTCGTATCCTCTCTCTACTGCCGTGATTTCAAACCTTTTGTCTGCTGTAAAGCAAATACTTTTATTTTGTACATTACAAATTTAAAAAATAAATGGACAGTATTACTTCATCTTTATAATACTTACATTGCGATATTATTTGATCATTTATCGTCCAATAATTAATAGATCTAGGAAAAGCTTCAGAATGGCAGTCCAAGTGTACAGTGTCACCTTCTTTTGCTCCCACTAATTGGTTTTGTATAGTCATTATTGGTGGAACTGAAAAAAACATCAACATACAACATATATGCCAAAGAGTAAGTCTATATATAGCCACAAATTGCAATAAACATGTTGAGACAGCCGGTTCACCTAATTTACTTGAAATTAGCTTAGTTGTGGTTACAGATTTCGGTTCTAATACTGGCAACACACGTTTCCCCACTTTGCGAGCAAAACCACAATAGTGTATATAACTAAAAGATTTATCTATATCGGGCATTGAAATCAGTTTTTTGACCATCTACTTTAAAATCATACGGAAATATTACTTACATTTATGAATACTGGCAAGGCTGTTTTATTTATGATATGAATCAGTTTACAAAAGTTACTCACAGTGTACAACGAGCATGACACGTTTGCTGACTGAGGGTGGGACCCCGTTACTTGCAATACATAAGTAGGCCCCCATATGTAATCTTGATACTTTTACTAACTGAAGTACTGCGCCATTTACAGATGAATCTAAACAAAAAAAAAAACAGACCGTAAATGAATCAAAATTTACCTTAAAACATTAAGTATTTTGTACTCGGGTTTATACACGAAATTAAACTAACAAAATTATGATATATTAATGAAAGATCTGCTTCACAGTTTTCTATAAGAACATTTAAAAAATATAATGTCATTAAATCCTAAAATTAAATATGTGGCATATTTCATTTTTTATTTAAGAGACTAATAAATGATTGAAACAATTAGCTTTAGTTTCCTTAAAATTAAACAGATGTCTAATACTGAGGTCTCACTAAATATGTGGTCACTAAGTGACCGATAGTTACTATGTCACTAAACTGTGACCGCCATTACTAGTAGGTACTCATATTTTTTTACATTTATTAAGGTTAGATATAAATCATGTTTCTTACTATGTGTATCACTAAAGTTAGTGGTGGGCAACAAGTCGCCGGCCTCCTTTCTCCATACAACTGTAGGTGTTGGCACTCCATGTGCTGCACACCTTAGCGTCACGTTTACACCTTCTCTGGCCACTTGGTCACTACTCGTGGGGTAGTCCAGAATATCCGGTGGAACTGTGCAAATTCACACTCCTAATCATGAAACTTTACACATTAATTTATTATTCAAACTTTGCGTTTAAAAATACAAGTTCAAACAAACACAATAGGAATACCTGAAAATTTACTACGTGACTAAATATCGTTTAAACTTAAGTTGATATGATTATTTATGAACCTCACAAGTAGATATAGGCTTTTATAAACTAATTAGTTATACCGTACGCTCGGGCTGATTTCGGGTCAACCCACACTTACAATTCGTTTATTAAAATAAAATTACATACCTACTACGTCTAGGTAAGCGGTTTGGCTCTTCATCGGGTCAGTGTTAAGCTGGCACATGTACCAGCCTCGGTCTGACTGCCGTACGTCGTGTATGTGAAGGAACCATACTCGGCGGTCACTGTGATTTACTGCGATACGGTGATTTTTGGTAATGACGTGGGTGGCAATCGTCAGGATAGTCTGCGTGTCCACACGTAACCACGCCACCTATGTACCAAAGGCAAAGTATGTAAGGCAAGTCAAATTTGGTAGTCAGTATTACTTAACTGGTGTATCGAAAGACTATTAAACTAATGTGTGAGTAACAAAAGTACTTGTTTATTTTTAATTGACGAAGTTCTTAATAAAATGTTAACAAAATAAATAAGGTACCCAGTGCAAAGGCATGCTCATCATGTTAAGATATTTATGTGGAATCTCTTGCACGCTTTTTCTGAACCTATCTTTAATCTGCACTAAGTCTCGTGATTCACCAATACTCTTCGATTTTTGTAGTAATCTGTCAGTGGTCGTCACATAAAACTCTTTTTAGCTTCAGGTTATCTGGTATAGCTATTATTTGGAAAATACTATTAAGAATGACTGCACGGATGGCGTAGTGGTTTAAGCGGTCACCACGCCGCTTCCTACTACGCCGAGTGTTGTGGGTTCAAACCCCACATGGGACGACACTTTGTGTGATCCACAAATTGTTGTTCTGAGTCTGGGTGTCCTTTGTGTCCGTTTCATGTATGTTTGTAAAATCCCCCGCGACACAGGATTTATTCCTAATGCGGGAGTTGTCTTTAAAAAAAAAAAAAAATGATCGTGTGTATAGTAATATAAATGTAATATAATATAAATTAATATAAAATACTATAGATGGCCTGACATTTGAAATTTGACCGTTTTAACTGGCTTGTTTCATTGACAGCATAACTTGAACTGTTCTTGCCTAGACATTTGTACCATGTCAAAATATAAAATGGACTCGTAAAGTTTTATATAGACGTTTTTACATGATTTGTAACTTTATATACATACATTATACATTGTTTAAAATTTTAGCTTTTCTCACTTCTTCTACTTTTAAATATTAGGAATTAGATTCCATACGCCATATTCGTTAAAAAGGAGGTACAAATAATTCTTCACGTATTAATATATAGATTTTAAAGAATTATGGGTTTACAAGTAAGTGTAAATCTAATATAGTTGAATGAAAAGGAGCCCTCTTAGTATTACATGTTTATGATAGAAGTACTCACCCTGTAGGAGCCGAGATCATTGACCACACAAGTGAATACTGCCTCTCTTCCCAACGATACGGTTAGGTTGTTAAGACTATCTTCAAAGCGTGGCACTTCTAAAACAATAATAAAAAATAAGTTCTCTAAGTAAATTATTCCAGTTTGTTAGTATTTAACAGCACACACACAGTAATCTCGTATTTATTTTATGAAACAAAACAGTGCCTCCCAACATTACCGGTAAGTTATTGTTTAAAAGATGTAAATTGATATTAATAATTAATTTGTATTGTTATTTCTTCTAAGATTTCATCAACGTTTTTCTAGTGAACAGGAATTCTTCGAGGGGTTATAAATTTTGAGGGTTCCGTTGCTGATAAGACAAAAAGAAACCCTACAAGATAACTTCCGTCTGTCTGTCTTTATGTCTGTCAAGATCCTTTTTCTCACGAATGCGTGGAGGTTTCAAATTAGAATATATATCAAATGCTTAATTATATCCAATGTAGTACTTAAAAGAAGTGCCTTTTAGAGGAATAATCCAAATTTCTTTTTTTCTAGAGATTCTGAGCAATTTCAACATCGTAAGTAACATCGTAAGACGCCTGAGGAGTAGGGCTTCCTTTCGGAGTCGTTTTTATTGGATACACCACATACTCCCGGCTCCTGCGTCTCCACGATGGTGCCTACGGAATTTAGTTATAATTGAAGAAAATCTGTTCAGCCTTTCTAAGATCATCAGCACTTTTATAATTGTTGAAGAGATTTTGGAGATAACGCACTCACCGTTATAAAAACCACTTTACTGTGTGGTACGGTCAACGACAAAAGTAGTTGATCAAAAACGGATTGTCAAAACTACTGAACAATATTTGGAGCAAAACTAGGTAGTGCTACAATGTTACAATATCATATTGAATTGTCAGAAAAAGTTAATGATCGAAGATGTTGCAAGATAATAAGCTGATTGAACTGTCACCAAAAGTTAATAAACAAAGACGTTTCAAAACAAAATTATCTGATTGAACCATCGCCAAAAATTTATGATCAAAGACGTTTTAAGTTAATAAGCTGAGAGAACTGTTGCCAAAAAGTTGATGATTAAAGACGTTACGAAATAAGTGATAGTCTTAAAAATCAGAACTTCATGGATATTTTGTTCTCAGCATTATCTGAGATTTTTTTTTTATCGGACTAATCCCACCCACACGCCCACCACTGTAACTCCTGTACACCAGGATCCACAGCAGTGACCCACGAACACACCGAGTTATGACACTCGGGAAGTCCCAGGAAGAAATTAAACTGTCTTGGAACCCGCAACGAAATTAATCAGAAGAAAATTGGAGGAGTTGGAAATACAGTAAATCCACTTCCCTCCTTAGCAAAGCGGGAGACAAAATGAAGTAAAATAGGCATACACCCTTTTAAACAGGGAAGCACCACGGCCACAAAATATTACGGGTCCTACATGAGCTATATTTGATTTCTATAATATGTATGGCAGAATCGCCTAAACGCACGGAAATTCACCCTAGTTGACACAAGATCCCCATAGTATACCGCCCCAGATGTCACCTGCAAGCTATTCAGCATTATATTACGTTCATTATACCAAAGACTACATTCCCAGAGGATATGATGAGCAGATTGTTCATAATGAGAGTTAGGTGTTGAGCATTGACACAATGGTGACTCCACTAATTTAAATGAATACAACTTGCTCTTAAAGTTACCACGACCCGTAAGAAATTGAGCGACACAGTGATCCACCTCAAGCCATGTGCTCGACAACCGTTCGCGAACAGATGGAAAAAATTGGTAAAGATGGCGCCCCTTGGATGATTCGTCGGAGCGTTGCTGCCATTCGTCTATGAGGTCATTATAGACATCGGACTGCTGTTGATCTTGTAATTTTACCGCGATCCCGCGCGCCCAAGAAATCGCATTCCATGTTTTGTCTTGAATAGTACATGGCTGCACGTTTCTGCACCTCGAGATCGACCGGAAGCACACCCGCCAACACCGGCAAAGCCTCAGTGCTAACCGTCCTATATGCCTTGCACAAAATATCAGTGCAAGTCGTTGGCCTTGTAACAGTTTGCGACGGACAGCGCCTACGGTCGCCCTATCGGCCCATACAGGTGCACCATAGCACTTAGAACCTAAATAAGTAGCTCCGTATATGATCTTTAATGTATTAAATGATAGACCCCATGTCGCAGTTGATATCCTTGTCAATGCACAGAAACTCTTTTTAGACTTTTCATTAACTATTTTAATATGTTCGATAAATGAAAAGTTTCTTTCTAAAACTAATCCTAGATAACACACTGTGGTTTTATTTTTTACAGTAACATTGTCAAATCTAATGCTCGGCGGTGATTTAAGGTTACCTTTTAAAAGTAGCTGGAAGGTTTTGTTGGGTGCAAAAGTTAAGCGATTACGTTCACCCCATTGAGATATCAAGTTCAAACATCTATTGGCTAATCTCTCAAGCCCCGCCCTAGTATCAGATTCCACCAGTAATAAGCCGTCGTCAGCATACGCGTTCAGAGTACATCCGGATGGTATGGGTATCGCAAGAAAATCGTCGAAGCCGATATTCCACAAGTATGGACCTAGCACCGATCCCTGAGGACATCCCATTGTAAGCGCCTTCGACACAGAATGATGACCAAGTCTTAGTTTAGTTGTACCTTGTGAAAAGTACGAAGAGATAAGGGAATAAATATTTTTAAAGCACCCCCGTGATTTTAATTTCAGCAACAGCATGGGCCACCATGCGTTGTCGAAGGCGCCAGATATATCTAAGAAAATAGCCAGCACGTATTGAAATTTTGACCCTGTGACAAACTTTCTAACCGATATAGCAGCGTCAGTTGTCGATTTACCCAACGTAAATCCAAATTGTCTATCATGAAATTTGACTCCACCTGGCAGAAGCCGGGGCACTACAAGACGTTCTAACAGCTTTCCTAACGATGGTAACAATGTGATTGGTCGGTAGGATTTAGGATCATCCGGTGGCTTGTCGCCACTTTTTGGTATTATACAAATATTACCGCACCGCAATATACGAGGAACTATTCCTTCAGCAATGCAACGTTTAAAGACAGTGAAAATCGTGTCACCCGAAAGTTTACAAGCTTCTTTTATCATTTTGTTAGATATTTTATCATCGCCCGAAGCCTTGTTTAGCGGCAAGGATCTAATGATACCGAGAATTTCGTCTGAAGATGGTAAATCAGACATTGGAGACAGTGGTGGTTCGATGGCACCCTGCCTGATCTGTCGGTGATGATCAGTGTCGTTCTCCGGCCGATCGTCAGGTACGAGTGAGTCTAAAAGATATTCTGCTGTTTGTTCTACTCCTGTGGTATATCTATCTGAGATACTATAACTAACGTCCAAAAGAAAATGATGAAGTTGAAGTATGCATACGAAACGAAGCACTTTTTTTTCCACTTGTGCAGATCCTCCCGGATACCTCACCACCCTCAAACCGACTAAAACTATACGCCTGTCTTCGGTGCCAGCATCAGGGGAACCAGGCGAAAGCTAGAGAGGAAATCCCTGTACCCAACTGTAAACGGCAACCTATGATTTATTAGATAGTCTGAGACGTGCTAGGCGCCTGGCTCGCTGCCTAGCTTAGGAGGTAAGGAGAGCCCCTTCTTTCGCGAGCTACATTTGCCACACTTTCGCTTGTAGAATGACGCAGCGGAATTCCACACGCTTCTCCAGCAACGCCGGTGTTCTATGGGCTTCGCTGAATACTGCAGAAATAGACACCAAAGCATCAAAGCAGTGAGGTATGAAAGTGTCCCGTGTTATGAAACGGGGCACAGGGCAATGTTTCTAAGTCTTTATACCTCAATATACACTTTGAAACATTTTGACAAGAAAAACATCGCCTGATCACACTTCCAAGATCCGGTGGAATGAGGAGGTATCAGGGTAAGGTTCACTTCCAAGCTAAAATTCTATTTAGTCTCGAATGTTTGAACACTTGTTCTCTTGAATCTTTCAAATAAAGTTACTGGTATCTTGACAACGGTGATTGCTACAGCAAAAACGAAAGCGCATAATTCCTAAAATATATGTGTAAAAAACAATCTGCCACCTCGTTCTGTGTGCAAGTGATGCTCGCCAAAGAAAGGGCGAAAAGAGACGGTCAGAGGTTTAAAACTCTCGTCAGAGACGGCTCAGATCGCGCGCTTGACAGCTAGGCAGGAGTCTAGTGCGCAAAGGCCTTTTTTGTTTTCCCGTGCGGAAATCCCCTCGGATACCACCTATCGGTGGCATGTTGGACTCGTACCGACTAAAAGCGCACGCCGTCTCGGGTACTAATAGCCGTAACAGCGTGTTAAACAGTAACAGAAATAAAAAATAAAAAAAAAACAGTAACAGCGTGTTAAAAATAATAGAGAGTAGATGGAACCTGACCTTGTAACAGTTGGAAGTGACCTGTGACCCTTACAATCAATCCCTTTAAATCAATCTTATTATTATATTATATAATAAATAGAAAATAGATAACAAATAAGTAAGTAACAGGGGGCATGGTAGATACTATTTTATGCAACTTTGGTAACTTTAAACTCAATTTATTACTGTTCAAAGTAGTTCTGAACTATGTTTCGCTGCTGACAGTAATTCTATCAAGCCCGTTATGATTATTAGCGAAATTTAGTATTTCTAAATTAATAAACGAATCTCTAACGCGTTTTATATACGGTATTTGAATATATTATACGTTATTTCGCTGTGTACGTTCGCTTACTTTACACACAGTGTACACAGCCTTATGTATAATCTCTATAACATATATTTAATTACAAGAAGAAGTTAATTTTAAGAATTGACTGCACGGATGGCGTAGTGGTTTAAGCGGTCGCCACGCCGCTTCCTATTACGCCGAGTGTTGTGGGTTCAAACATGGAACAACACTTTGTGTGATCCACAAATTGTTGTTCTGAGTCTGGGTGTACTTTGTGTTCGTTTCATGTATGTTTGTAAAGTCCCCCGCGACACAGGATTTATTTCTAGTGCGGGAGTTGTCTTTTTTTAAAAGAAAGAAAGAAAATAATTATTAAAAAGTATTTAACTGAACTTGGCTCATGCGTTTTTTTGTTATTTATTTTAATATGTTAAATCACCCAAACTTCTAAAAACGTTACTAAGCACAGTTACATAATACTACTACGTCGAACCTATATGAACATAATTATTTATATTGTTCGTCTTGTGGTTTGAACATATTTACCAAGTTTTTGTAGAAGCTCAAGTGAGGTGTCAAATTCAGTTTAATTAATAGGATATCGTCTATCTCTCAGTTTTAACGCCAAAATTTTGATTAGGAGTACCTATATAACTAGGTAATTAATTAATTAATATATCAAAGAAATACATTAGAAGGGATTCGTAATATGAAATCTTTACATCTAACACGATGAACATAAAATACTTACTTCTTTAAAAACGTACTGACTAACTAAAGATACAAATTTTGATTTTCAGCTGAAACCTTACTTTTACAAAAGTTATATAGAATCTATAAAGTCAGCAGTTCATAACTAATATTTTTTTACAAATTTTATAAAGTCAGCAAATTGAGCACCAGTAAAAAAACAACACCTATTTAATTTATTTATTTTAATACTTTATGCACAAGTATGGATTGTTTGATTTTCTCCCAGTCTACCTTGCTTATGAAATGCAGGCTCACCATGGCCT